ATTTTAAAGTCACCCTCTGTTATCAGCTCAGCCCAGAGGATCTCACTGAACATGTGATGCCAGCCTCCTGCTTCAGAAGGCTCTCCATTGAGTACTTCCTAACACCTTCTCTGAGTGTTGGCCATCTGTGACGTTGCTATGGTGGTTATGTGATTCAGTGCAGCCAGAGAAGTATAATTTAAGATTAAATCATGTGTATGATTTAAAATTCAATGGTAGTTGTGAGACGAAAACACCAAACAAGACTATGGTGTCCTAAAATTTCTTTCCCTCCCCTCCCCTCCCCTCCCCTCCCCTCCCCTCCCCTCCCCTCCCCTCCCCTCCCCTCCCCTCCCCTCCCCTCCCCTCCCCTCCCCTCCCCTCCCCCAATGTAGCGACCACTGCTTTTTTTCAGCTTTCAATATTAAACATTTACAAAGTCTGTGTAAATGAATTTTTAGTTGTAATGATATGGCCTACCTATCTCACTGGGGATTCTAAAGGATTTAATTTTATAGAAAACTTCGAGCTCCTTAACGTGGAAAAAGACAATATCAATGCAGTCATTTCTATCGCAGTAATATGTATATTTTACATATATTAAAACCACCAATTTACTATGACACTGAAGTTTAATGTTCACTACTGTTTATCGAAGTCCTAGTTTCTGTGAAAAAAACCTCAGCCTAAATATTTTCAACTTCTTTACTTTTCTTGGCCTCTTTTGCATAAATAAACAGAGATCTTCTAAAAATTGTAATCATAAACAATTTTGGAGCATCAGTATTTTCTAGTTACTGAGTAATTTTTTGCTCCATCCTATCATCTTATCCACACAATAACCCTGAGAACTGCGTAGTATTTCTGCCAGTTGACAGGTGAGGAAACTAAGCTTATTTCAAATCACTTTGAGCTCCCTACGCTTCACAATAAATAAGAGTTAAAATAGCAAAAATACAAAACAGTTTTTCTGAATTCTGGTATAAGAAATAAATGAGTAATTACTAAGTTTACTAACACTCTTTCCAGAAATGATTGGACATATTTTTCTTGGTCTTGTCTAGAGACAGCTCAATTTAGAGGAGTTAATTTGCCACATTCTTGAGAATCTGTGTTAGACTGAATCTTTGCAGGGGCCAATGTAATAGATACTTTTACTCTAACACATGATTAAATCAGATCAAGGGGCATCTTTACTTGGGATTTTAGAGAACACAGTGCGTGTGGAGTTTTACTAAATCCGGTTTAGCACAATGACCTCGTGCACTTTCAATCAGGTGAATGTAACTGTGGGCAACTAGTAAGTACCGTATCAATCCCAAATAATAAATTTGGGCTACAGTAAAGGTGTCCAAATGCCCACAGAACTTTTATCAGAAAGTATAAAATGTGATGGAATTGAGGGCAGGAGAGTAAAGAACGAGGAGAAAATCAATAAACGGTAAGAACCAAACTTTCTGAACCCCACTTACATCTGTGGGCCAGGCTCTTACTTAAACTGTGTTGGTACAATTTAATGTCAAAACCAACTTCAGGATGAGGTTTGTTGTCCCAAATGCGGTACTAAGTAATCCAACACTTAAATGGTTAAATAAATTTTCGAAGTCCTGTAATGACTAATTGAAGGGCCAGAATTCAAATTCAAGTCTGCATGTCTCAACAATACAGGTAGGATCTTTCTACCGCATGACCCTGCCTCTAAGGGAGTCTCTCCTTCCCCAGAAGGAAAATTGATGGGAAACGCACACACTGGCCCTCCACCCACACACCCCTTCCAGATATTTAACCCACTGAAGTCATCAGATGAGTAAAAACAGTTTTTAAATTTAATTTTTTAATTACAGTTCACATTCAATATTATATACTGTATTAGTTTCAGGGGTATAGCATAGGGGTTAAACAGTCTTTTATACTCTACACAGTGCCCAGTGATATTTCCAGTAAGTGTGCAATTTAGGTAGCCCGTCCTCCCTCCTCTTTTTAAAAAATTTGCTCTTTCTATTATTATTTGTCTTCAGTCCTGAAGGGATTAATGTTTCATTTAATACGTAAGTATTCATATTCCTCTCTTAGTTTCTACTTGAACTATATACTATTATACATTTGACTTTCTTTTTCAATGCCATTCAGCTGCTTGCCTTACAGAGTGCAGAACGCTGCCAGCAAGTGTTTTGAACACTCCCCTGGTTTTGTTCAAGCAAAGAAGATGTCAGTTGTGGTGGCTCAGCAAGAAAACTCAGTGTTAAAGACAAAGAAAAGCACAGAAATCTGTGGGCACAAACAGGAGGCCTTTCTCTCCCTGCAGTCTCACCACCCAGAATGGTCCTCGTGACTTCTAACAGCAGCCACGGTTCTGAGTTTCTCCTAAATAACTTTATGTTGGGGGTGAATAAAATATTGCAATCAATAATGAAGCTTTCTGTCACTACATCATAGAGTATGACCCAAGTAATAAATACGACACATTTATAAGAAACAGATCACAGTAGGGTCACCAGACAGCCTTCAGTTGTAAAACAGAACACAAGAGAGAGAATTTGGTCAAGTGAATTTATTCAGATGTCATGGGGGCTGGCGATGTGTCGAGGAAGAAAATTGCAAAGATCCTTTCTCAAGCATACTGTGGGGATGGATACACAGAAATGGATAATAATAAATAAGTGACTGTGCAGAAGTTCCCTAGTGGTGAACTCATGTTATTAGTGCCTAAGAAGAAACAGTAAATTGCCCTGTGATCCCAGCTACATTTAATTGCAACTACATTTAGTGGCAATAAAGAAGGACTGCATAGAGAGATCAATATTCATGTAACAATTACTCAGCATATTGGAGGCCTTGGTAAAAGAGGGGTGTTAATATCCTATTATAGGAGTGAAATGAAATAAATGCAAAGAGGTGGATGTTGCTTAGGGCACGTGTCAGAAAACAAAGAATGTGCAAGTTAAAGATCCATGAGATGAGAAAAAAAATCTCAGACCATTAGTAGTTATGAAATCAGTAGTGTTGCTCCACAGTATAAACTGATCATTGCATTTCCATTTCTGGGAAAGGGAAGCTCTTGTCTGCTTCAGAAATCAGCAAATACCCGGTGTGCAGTGCAAGGCTTGAGGGAAGCCAGAGCTGGCCCAGGAAGGCAGGTGCTGCCTCTCTCCAAGTCTTTAGCAGTCAGGGGCATGTAAAAGATCTCCCAATTTCCTCTTGTTTTTCATGAAATAAATGTTTATATTTTAGATTTCTTACCAGGCTGGAAATTACTATTTCCGGCAAATAGTAATTGCTATTTGCAAAGGAATTACTATTTAAAGTTGAGGCTGTAAACTAAGACAAATTTTAAGTTAATTCTTATTAAGTACTTTTACTTGCTTCTGCAATAAGGACTGATATCTTTAAATTATTATCCCATTGAGATGAAGGGAATAAAAACCTTGAACTAGAAATAACACCATAAAACAAAAACAGTTTACTTTGGAATACAGGAGATGGAAGAACAGCAAAGGTATTTCTGTATTAGTTAAAACAAGTATTAGAGCAAGTATCTGTCGTTGCTGTTCTACATTTTCTTTTGTTCATATCTACCTGTCTTTTTGGGTATCACTGATAATTTTGCTTCATTCATTCCAAAGCACGCATGTGCTAGGTGGTGGTGACGTGATAGTAAGCAGGGTAGGCCCAGCCCTTACCTCACAGAGTAGACAGTTCGATAGCTGGCTGCCTAATTCAACAAACAATGACACAGTGAGGTATGGTTAGCATTATGATAGTGAAAGTGGGGGGGTCGAGAAGGGTGTGGCAGAGAAGCTCACCCCAGTCTGGGGAGTTCCTGAGCAAGACACCTCTGAACAAAGAGGTGTTTAAGTTAAAAGTGAAAAAAGATGGAAGGAAGTTAACTCTTGATAACAGATACTGGAGTTCATGTTAAATTATTTATTCAATTCTTAGAAAATTTCATTTCTCAATCATTTGTGGCATTTTGATGTTATATGGCTTTAATGATAATTATTCCATTAACCTATAAATACCTTGGTTTGTGATAACCACATACCGTTTAATGAAATTGCTACTCACTCAGAAAAAAAAAACTCCTTCTGATCAGTTTTGCCTTCTTTCCTTTCAGAATTTATTAGGATATGAATATGAAAGTAACAAATAAACAAATGGGGTAAATAAACCAAAACACATAGTCACAGACAGCTGTGTGGTGACTACCAAAGAAAAAGGGAGGTGAGGGTTAGGATTGTAAAGTGTGAAGGGGTCAGATATGGTGAAGAAGGTGATTTGACTTTTGGTGGTAAACACAGTGCAACATACATGCTGTATTCTAGAACTGCACACTTGAAACCTATACAATCTTATTAACCAGTGTCACCCCAATAAGTGTCACTAAAAATTTATTAGCATATAATTCATACACCATTAATTTCGACATTTTAAAGTGTGAACTTCGGTGTTTTTGGTGTATTCGCAGCATTGTGCGGCCGCTGCCACCATCTCATTCCTGAACATCGTTCCTGCAGAGAAACCACGCACCTGCTGGCAGCAGTGCCCACTCCCTCCTCACCCACTCCTTCCTCTGAGAGCCACTAATCAAAGTTTTGTCTCTATAAATTTGCCTATTCTAGACATATCCTGTAAATGAAGTCATACACTGTGTAGTCTTTTGTGATTGGTTTCTTTCACTTAGCATAATATTTTCAAGTTTCACCCATGTTGCAGCATGTATCAGGACTTCATTCCGTTTTATGGCCCCAAAATATCCTATCAATTGAATTTACTATGTTTTGTCCATCCATTTATCAGTAGATATGTGTTCGACTTGTTCCCACTTCTTGGCTAATGTGATTGATGCTGCTGTGAACATTTGTTTACAAGTTTTGGGCAGCATATGTTTTTATTTCTCTTGGGTGTATGCCTAGGAGTGAAATTGCAGGGTCATATTGGTCTCTACGCTTCCTTTCTCAGGTGCTGCCAGACTGTTTTCCATTCTGTATTCCCAACAGCAATGTTTTGCTTTGTTTTTATAGACCCCAGAGGAACTGGAGGATGTTTCAGACCTGGAGGACGATCACGAGGTCCACAGTCACACCAGCATTCAGACCGAAGGGAAAACAGACCGGGTATGTCCCCTCCCTGTGGGGAGGGATGTGTCCCCCGCACTTGCCTGGTCAGTCCAGGCAGCTTCTCATGGGTGGGACCCCTGGACCTAAAGCTGGCTCTGCAAAGTCAGGGAGAAGAGCGTCCGGAAGCAGGAACAGCAGCCCCAGGGGAATGATTTCCCCCACCCTGGGAGCACACCGGACACAGTTTCTGGTCAGGCAGGGAATCACCTCATAACACTCTTGATCTTTATAGCAGTCATGGGAATATACAAGTGAAATGCGTATGTTTGTTTAGAGTAGAAACGAGAGACCAGGAAGTTGTAAATATACTCTGAAATTCTAGAGCAAAAAAAAGAACATGACTTTATAGGCAGCACTCCTTTTCTTCCTTTCTGCAACGTCCTTTTTCTCCCCTACCCTCCACACACCCCTACACACACACCCTCCAGAGATATGAATCAGTTTCTCAATGACTCTGAGATAGGGTACTTCACCTGACTTATGCCCACTGCTCGGGAATCTGTGAAAGTTTGGTTTCCTAGATCCTGACAGTTTGCAACTGCGGACCCAACTGCAGTACCTTGGCTGGAAGGCCAGGCAATAGAGTGCAGTAGCTGAGACTGTCAGGGGACACCACGAGCCAGCCACTTCTTGCTGTGTTACTTGGAAAACTCACTCAGCCTTTCTCTACCTCAGTTATGTAATTTGTAAAGTGAGGATGGCTCTCTATAAGGACTATCGTGGCATTAGGTAAATCAACTAATAGAACACTCAACACAGTGCCTAGCTCACAGTGAGTTCTCAATGATTGGTTATCATTACTTGTAGAAATTATAGCAACAGTATAATTATCATTATTAGTATTACTTAATTAGTTTAATTCAGTGCCTAAAATTTAGAAACAGATGGAAAAATAGAAATTTAAGAAAGTTACATATTTTTGAATCTTTAGGTGACCTAGGACTGGTATATATGTAACAACACTTTTGTTTTATCAGAGGTGTTGCTTTTTTTTTGAGTTTTTATTTCTTAGTGATCATTCGAGTTATTTATCAGACCTCCAGAAACCAGTTCATGTTGGGAATTGTCCGGGGACACACAGCATCTGGAGATAGTTTTCTTCAAATCTAGTAGGCAGTAAGAAATCAAACCTCACAGTGGGATTGAAAATAAATGTTGCTAGTGGTGAACTTTGCCCTTGCTTTTAGTGAAGTGACTGAGTGACTCACTCAGGCTTCTGCTGAGCAACCAGAGGTGCCAGGTAATTGTCAGAGCTTACAAAGGAAGTGCCGGGGGGGAAACTTCTGTTAAAATAAAGGCAACTTTTAGGACTGTAGGATTAGAACAAACATGCTTTGATTCTCACTCGTGCTTATCCCATGAAAGCAAAAACCCTTGGTTAAGGCCCTTCAAACTTAGAACATTCAAATTTCTTCATCAGAATAACAAGAAGAATAATATCACACCTTCTCACAGCGCTGCTGATAACACCGAAAAATAATAATGCAAATGAGAATGTTTTATAAATTTTAAAATTATATGCCAGAAAGATAAACTTCTTATTGCCACTATTTTTGTATGTATTTATGTCCTTGGGCAGCATTATAGGTCATAGATATCTACCCGACCGTTGTAGGGTATGAAGTTGATGATCACTATGATCTTGGATCTTAATAATCTTTCATAGAAGCCACAGTAGCTAACCTGGTGAAAGGCACTCTGAACCTTCTCTGGACCAGAGATCTGTGTTCCACTGAGCATAGGACCCCCGTGATCCAGTTTATCTGGAATGACCCAGGAGACAGCCTCACAACTGCCTAGTGACAAGATAGATCCCTGACCATCAAATCTACTGGGAGCAACATTATATTCAACCTGGCCGCTCTCTGCTTTCATTATTCTTCCCTGCATAAATTCCACATAGCTCGGATGTTATTCCCCTCTTGCCTTGAGGTTTCCCTACTACTGCTATGTGGAACCCCTCATAAAGATGCTCAAATATTTTGACACATACACCCCCTCGTGTGAGGCACTAATACCCCAGAAAGCAAACCTTGAATAATACTCGTCCATTCCTTGGATGGACCACTTTGAAGTTCATTTTCCACAGGTTCTGAAAAGTTCCCCAGGAAGATCATGTTGAAATTCCTACCACATTGATCAAGTTGATAATACAATCTCCCATTGGCCTTCATTTCTTTATTCATTCTTTCCAGGCTCCCGGTTCTATTTCCTAAGACCTATTCCCAAAATAAACCACCTTTCATTCTTAGACTTTCCTTTTGGGGGAAAACACAAAAAGGTAGTCCCTTCACATATACTATTTATTTATTTCATTAATTCTGCTATATTGATATTGTTTTACTGGTTTTACTAACAAGATCACTGAGGCTCAAATTTATATACCTTATCTAGTAAGTAGATTACGTCTGCAGACCAAAACCTTAGTGATTGACACGTGTCCGTTTACTTATAGAGTTAGTAGAATGATTCCTTTATTAAAAAGCAAACAAATAATCACCATTACAACAAATCTGATACATTATTGATGGAATGAAATAAAACAGAATAAAGGATGCTGAAGTGGTCTGAAAAAAGGAGGGATATAAACTTAAATTTAAAGAGTAATTATTGTAGAGTATGAATAATTTAACTCAAATAACATCCTCATTGAACATCTATGTTGTGAGTTAATTAAAACAGATTTCTTTCTTGTACCTGAAGTGTGTGTAATAGCTGACCAAGTAGGATAGCTCAAATCCAGCTCCCACCCAAATCACCTGACCAGAGACAAGACCGTGTTTAGGCAGGTTTTATGATCTCCCCCCAGCATCTTGCATCATCCCGTATCTCTTCAAGTCACATCTCTGTGCTTAGGATCTATTCATACATTTAGTCTTATAACCTTTTAAGACTTTGTGTTTAAATTCTATGCAGTATTACTAAAGTTTGTGTTCATTGATCTGAGTGTACCTATTGACATATTTGCCATGTACCATTGAGTTTGAGAAGATACCATAAATTTTTGAAGTGGGATCTGTTGAGAATTTTGTGAATACTTATGCCATGACCAATGAGGAACTTTTGGTCACTGTGCAAGACAAGTGTTTCGGTTCTTTCTGTTTGCTGCTGTTACTAAGGAGTACATGCCTCTTTGGTTTTTGTATTATGCAGGCTCTGCTATACTGAACATACACTAAAAACAATTTTAGAAACTGTTTAGTAATGGAGTGACAGTTATTTATTGTCACTTTCCTTTCCTTTTTACTCCCAGTAGCTTGGACTCAGTGAGATGTTACTGCTATCATCAGTGGAAAATGCCACAGGGCATCGTAAAGGTCCATAACCAACAAATAATGATTTAGAGTCCATGGTTGAGAATGAAATAATAAAGGACCAATAGAAAACGCAAAAGGAAGTGGCAGCAGAACAGCAGTAGATATTAGTGACTCTCTTAATTATTAAACTTGAATACTCACTGGACCAATACTGTGGTTATAGCCAGCGATCAGGCATTTCACAGGGATTGCAGTACAGGAGTGTGTGTGCCACAGGTTTGGAGAACATTCTTCGAAGAGCTCATTGTTTATTTTGTTCATGCTCTTAGCAAGAAAAACAGAGATGTATTTTATCTTAAAAGTTAAATTTGAAAGAGACATGAAAATGTCTATGAAAATAACCAAAATATCTATGACATATCTTTGAAAATAAGTATTCTGATAAGTTTTTGTATGTTCTAAATGCCTCCCAAAATATTATACTAAATACATACTAAGTAATATTTTCTATTTAAACACTTCATAGTTTACAGAATACTTGTAAATCAGTGTCGTATTTAACCAAAGCCCTGGAGTTTGGTTATTTGTTTATTTATTTATTTTTACTAATTCGCCTCAGAAAGTGTCATTAGTTTGGGTCAGCCAGGTAGACTGGGACCGTACTCCAGGTCTATTGAACCAACTGCACTTTCTCCAGGGCAGCACTCTTGGGTAGAATGTCGGCGTGCCTTAGGCTCTCATTTTGCAGTTCTTGCCATAGTCAGTGTTATAGAGTCCATATTATAATTCCTCTACTAGAAAGAAGACTTGTGAAACTGAGGATCATAAGCCTTAGTATCAGATCTGTTTAAGCCTCGCAAATTTCTAAATACCCAGTACTGTAATCTCCCATCAATAACAAAATCATTTTGTTGATTACCACTGGAAACTAAACAGTAATGCCCAGACCCTGACAGCATCCCAGGCAGATCACTTGCCATAATGAAGCAGAGTAAGGGTCAAGTAGTCATCCAGCAGAAGACCACTTAGGGCAGTAATCTGAGGCCTCCAAGTATAGAACCCAGGAGGTAGAGGCCTTTACTCCTCACTCAGTCTCTTGTCACGTTGGCTTCTGTGATATTTCCTTACAGGAGTATTTCTAACATCTAGAAAATTTCTCCTGGGTTCTTGTAACAACAGAGACTCAGGAAATTGCTCAAGTGTCAGCAGGTTAGCAGCTAAGGGTGTGTTCCAAAAGCCTTTCTGGGTACAATTATGGATTTAAAAATACTCTTAAAAAATTCTTTCCTGAGGATGTGATTTTTTAGTTTAGACAGAGAGGAAGAGAGGGAGAGAAACATTGATCGGGTGCCTCTCATTCATGCCCTGACTGGGGACTGAACCTCAGCCTAGACATGTGCCCTGACCAGGAATCGAACTTGTACCTTTCAGTTTGTGGGTTGATGTACCAAGCAAGTGAGTCACACAAGCCAGGGATAAAAAGGCTCTTAATAAAATGGATTGAGAGAGAGTTTTGCAAATGAAATGGATGACCAAGTGACTCATTGTTTCTAGCATGTAATGTGGAAGTTAAGAGTATGCCTTAGGGGCCACACAGACCTTGTTTCAAATATGGGTTCCACCAATTACCATGCATACAGACTCAGAAAAGTTGCTTTATATTTTTAACTTTCAATTTCATCATTTGTAAAGATCTGATAATAATTATAGTACCTATTTTATGTGTTTTTGAAGATTAAA